TGCCAGCATGCAATGTCTGTAGGCAGAATTGGTTCATTTTATCAAAGAAGGACTTTAGGTCAATGCTACAGATGTTGGCAGTTGGGGTACAGACCAAAATATACTATGCGACTAAGTGTCACATGCCTGTGGATGGATAATACCCAAATTTGCTGATAGAAAAACTTTGGAAATCATCTATTGAAGATGGCAGATACTTTAATCAGTCTGTATTCTTGAATGAGTATGTGAAACCTTCAACATGACGTTGTAAACTGGAAATTACAAACTGGAACAAAAAATGAAATCATGTATTAAGGAGATTAAAGGATTTATGCATTATAGCAATAAATGTTAATAATATCTGGTGTCTCTCTGACTCCAAAGGAATGGAAAAAAAAACAACCAAATTTTTCAATAGCTCTAATTCATCAGAATTCATCAATGGAAATCTGGATCCTATCCACTCTATTTCAAATAACTTATTTAAAATTTTTCATAAGAGTTATTTAATATCATTGTAATTCTTATTATTCATTGCCATGGACATTACCATGTGACTTGTTTACAACGTGACAATTTCTTGCCTGCTAATGTGTTACCAAAATCATCAGAATTTTGAACCTGATCATAAATGTCTGTTTCATTACCTATCAATTAAGCAGAAACTGTTTTTCTAACACCCCCCCACTACATTTAAAATCAATCTTTAGCACTTTCCTGATGTTATTAAAAAAAAATACAGTTCTTAAATGAAGTGTAAAATATTAAGGAAGTTTCCACTGATTTGTTGCCTTCCCTTTCATCATGTCTTTCATCATTGTGGCACAGGGGGTTGAACGCAGCACTGTGAAGCTGTCTGCAGCCTCTGCAGCACATGTTCGATCCCTGGGTGGCCAGGGAGATACCCACATGGCGCTGCAGACCTCTCCAGCTTCACAATGTCTTCTCTGGATATTTCACATAAATATGTATTTTGCAAAGACAAGAAAACTTTATGTATATTGACTTGAGTTTTTGAGCTTATAATTGACCACAGCTAAGTCATTTTCAAAGCTATTTTACCCCCATGGGTCTTTAATTTCCTATAAATTAATCCAAATCCAATATGCTTCCATTATTCTATTATCAGTACCTTCATCATATTAATAATAGTTAATTGACTCCCTATTCGACATAGAATTATCAGACTAACATTTCATGTACATTTTAATCATCATAAACACACTGTGGAACAGGCTCTAACATTTTGATTGATAGTTGAAAATACCAAAGCTATTGCTGAATATTTCAGAAGTATTACATGACAAGGCCACGTTTAGCAAAATCTAGCTAAGCTAATATATTCGCTGTCATGTACTACCTTTCTCATTGGATTTATTGCCCAATGTATTTGGTGCCCAATGTTCTAGTAGTAGTAAAAAAAAAAATTAATAATGCATAATACAAAACATCATTTGAGATATTTATCATTGACTCCAAGGTTTAAGAACATTTCTCAATATCAAAAATATTCTTTAGTGGAAATTCCCTTTCACTTCTAACACCTTGGGATATTTTACAATAATGGATGCTAAAAAAAGAGTATTATCATGTGATGATTCTCAGGCTATATAGAGAAAAATAATTTCTTTAATAATTCAAGCTAAGTATATGTCTCTGGCTCAGAAAAACCACATAGATATATTTGGCAGAATCTTCTATTTGTTGTTATCTGCAGGAATCTATCAATTTCAAATGTGTGGCATATTTGGGTAAAGTAGGAGAAAATAATTAAATTGGTGCAACAACATTGTGTGGGATTTACTCATGTTACTGCCAAGATTTGAGCAGAATGTAAGAAATTAGCATTGATCATCAGAGTTTCACAATTTCTTTCATCAAGCTAAATCACAGTCACATCTGGAGTCTTTAATTGTGCCTTACGATTAGTTTAGCATACTGTAAGTGCCAATTAAAAGAGTTGGGAAAAGCAATTTCATGAAATAATATATTTCTTAAGCCACTACTAGCATATAAAATTAGCAGTAGGACTATCCTTTGATTTCTGCAGTCTTGTACTTCAGAACGAAGTGCTCTCATAAATACTCATATTCTTCCTCTTCCTTTTTTTTCTTAGCTTCTATCTTATTTGATGTTAAGTTCTTATTCTTTAAAGTAATTATCTTTATTCATACACCATTATTTTATTTTTAATTTTCCCTTATTCTGAGTGAAAAATGGCAGTCTTCTAATAGACATATGTATGGTTTTTTTAAAAAGAGTTTAGCTTGTTCTAGGAATTAATGTAAAAATATTCCAAAGGGAAAGAATCCCCCTGTGGGCAATAAACCATCAGGCAGCAGTTTAAAATTTTAGTGTGCATGTGTCATTTAGGGTATCTTAAGAATTTTCAGACTTTATCACCTAACTGTAATATATTTTATTTCCATACATGAGGAGGGGAAGCCAGGAAATTACTTTTAATAAGGAAATATGTGTATCTGATACAGGTCCACTGGAGGATGATTTGTGCAGATTCTAATGGTAAAAGACATGAAATAAAAATTATTGAGCAAGTCTTTGTTGGTCTATATTGGTTCCAATGGAGGAAACAGCTGAGGTTTAAATACACTGAAAGCAGCACATTGAGATAATTTCTCCTGCTTGTGATCTAATAGTATTTCATGTACATGGTACTGTCCTGATTGTGTATTTCAGCAGTCATCTTGGTTGAAATGGTAGCACTGAATTTCATTATGTGGCAAGATTTTTGCTTCTTACCTAAAATAAATTGCTCTTATTAAGCGCATATTAACTAATGACTTTAATTGCTTCAAAATGTCTTCTCTGAATATTTCACATAAAAATGTGTTTTTCAAAGACAAGAAAACTTTATTTATATTAACTTGAGTTTTGGAGCTTATAATTTGGACAGCATTTATTTAAAATACAGCACAAGAAGATACATTTATTATAGTTTTTAAAAAAAACAACAAGGTCTGAAGAAAGCAATACAAGGTCTGAAATAAGATAGCATAATCAGTTATACTGTAAGATGTATCAATTTATATTCAATTAATCTGATTTATGTCTAGCTTGATTTCTTAGTTAATATGTTATTTATAACATATAGCAGGCAATAATTTGAGGAAAAAATACTCTTAAAAAGAGCTTTCTGTTCTTCTAAAGAAATATATTTTGTCCAAAAGAGACATAAAGTGGTGGGAATTTGTCTTCTCAGCACTTATAATGGACAGAAAATCTCATTCCACTTTTCTGAATTTTAAAACTAGATCTTTTTCAACTTACCGTTTTAGTTTCCTTTCATCTGACCAGTTCTTTAGTCTTCGTTTTTTTTGTGATACTAACATAGTTTAAAGGGTACAAACCAATTGTTTACAAAATAAACATCAATTTGGATTGCCTGATGTTTTCTCAAGATTATATTCTGGGGCCTCCCCGGTGGCGCAGCGGTTGAGCGCTGGGTTGCAAAGCTGCCTGCAGCCTCTGCAGCGCCAGTTCGATGCCCGGCCGCCAGGCGAGGGTCCCACATGGTGCGCAGACCTCTCCTGCCGCGCGCTGCTCCCCTCAGCAGTGTACTTCGTCATTCTGCCTGCTCTGCTCTCCCCTCTGACTCTGGTGAATTCTCTCACCCTCCCGCACTTCTGACTGTACCCAGTGCTTGTATAAATAAATAAATAAAATCTTTAAAAAAAAAAAAAAAAAAAAAAAAAAAAAAAAAGATTATATTCTGGTATTCTTGGCAGGATAACTGCATACATATGCCTTTTATTATTCTTAGTCCACTATGGTGATAAAGCTTGCTCATCTGGTCATATTGCTATCCTATGGATTTTTCCCACTGTAAAACTGGTACACTTTGTAAGAAATGTGTGATTTTGTTAGAACTATGCTACATTTAACCAGAATTCTCAGTCTCTGTTGATGAATCATACATAAATCAATAATTATGAAGATGTTTGTGGACTGGTGATTTTCTAAATCTATAGTCCTTCTGTAATTATGACGATCATTCTGTTATTTAAAAAAGAGCCTTTCCTTCTCTCATTGATCTACTTATCTCTTATCATCTAAATCTATTTTTATTACTTTTGATTAGTGGATTAATCTTATATCATTGGCTTAATCTACTACAACAGGTCAAAATTTACTCATTTGCAATCCTACAAAGCAACATGGCTATGAGGAAATGGCACCAGTTATGTAAAACTTGTGGTTTGGTTCTTTACACAAGTATGGCTGTAGGCTGAGCTCCAAATTTGCCTAAATAGTTTGATCAGACTTCTTAGTTGGGCAGGACTGGGTACTAGGGAGGGCTCTGAATTACCTTCACTCTCCTGGCTACATGGCAGAATGGGTCCCAAGGTATGTAGGGCTGGTTGTTGGGAGTATTGATGAGGGAAGAATTGCTCAGTACACTCTATGGCCAGACAGGGCTACCAGTTTGGCTTACAGAGGGCAGAATTACTGGCCAGCATCTCTCTGTGCTCCAGTGCTGTTGGGTTAAGCAGCTTCATGATTCTTTGACCAACTTTCTGGTTGGATGGGGTAAAGATGAGATTCTCAGCTGTAGAAAGGACTTTGAATTAATTTTCCTAACTGGGCCGGGTATAAGAACAGATTTCAAAGCTAGCAAGCCTCACTCTCCGGGATTCCAAATCAGGGAAAACTCCATAACAAATTCAGGCACTGGTTGGGATTTGTGCTTGGGCACTGTTGTGAGTAGGAATTCTACCTGCCCGGATCTGACTGCTGCTTGTGGTACACCTCATACTTTCTCCATCCCAATCTGATCTCCAGTAGTCAAGTCCAGCAGATTCCCTCCAATATCCATTTGAGGTAAGATCTGTGTAGGTCTCCCAGGAAGCAACCTGTAATACCAGGAACTCTTGATGTCCATCGTGGGCTCTCATTTTCCCACTGAGCAAGTGTAGTCCAGGGACCAGAAGGCCAGTAAAGCACTGCTATGCCCCTCTGGGGGAGGGACATTGTGGTCAGAGTGTTACTGTTTCTCTTACCTTTCTAATATGGTTCTTTCTGTTCTCTTTGGTCCAGGAGAGTGCTTCAGTCTTAGCCCCTTATTCTAGGATCTTTGCAATGTCTTATTGTGGATACTTGCTAGTTGGTCTTCTATTGTAACTTTAGATGTGTCAGACTAATTCTTAGAAAGACAAAACATCCAAAAGTGATTCAGAGAAATATAAGAAACCAAATTATCCCTGCAGTCAATGATGACATTGCGTATGTTATTTGACCTATTTTTCTACAAGAAAATTCTAGGACTCCAGTCAGGCCTATTAAGTTTTGCTCATAATTGTTTTATAATCATGAAGAAACATTTCTACTCACATAAAAATAATCCAAAAAATTGAAAATAAGGAATGGTTACTTATTATTTCATTATATGAAGCAAGGATATCTTTGATACCAAAACTCAAAAGGAGTTGACAAAAATCAAATCATATAATTAACATTCCAAAATAATAAGACAAAACTAAAATTTTGCGAGCTAAATGACAAAATCAGTAGAAAGACAAAAGCAACAAAGCAGACTTTTAACTAGTAATACTAAAGAACTTCCAATACAATATTGCTTCATAATCAACTATTTGTAAACTACAGGAAAAAAAATGACAGAAATGTCTTTTTTTTTCTGTTTATGTTTTAATATTGCTTTAAAACACTGTATATAGTTCACAGGTACAGGTTCACCCCTCTTTAGATGTGTGTTACCACATTGCACCCACCACCAAGGCACTCAGTGGACTGTGGTGAAGAACACCTTTTTTGACCTAAAATCAGTTTGAGATGCATTTTAAAACATTGCTGTAATTGTAGAGTATGAAACAATGCTTAACAACATTGAGTATACCCAAATTTGTGAGTATAAAAGTAAAGTTTGATTTTTGTTCTAGGTATGTCTATAGCATAAAAGTTCTTTTTAAAAAAGTCGAAAGTATGTGCTACACACTCTTTTAAATTAATGTTGACATTTCACTTTGAGAGAGCATAAAGTATAGGTTCTGGGCATATGTGATGTAAAAGTTTTAGGTGCTTTTTTTAAATTTTTGTTCTGCAGTTTTAAGTTTACTTCTTATACAGCAGGGATAACTTGGGTTAACAATTACATTTGGTGAACCTGAAAAAAAATGAGTAGGAAATAACTTTAGACTTTACTCCTACTGTTTCCTTTAGAAGAATGAAAAGAATATATAAGTTAGCTTTACATTACCATCCATCAGAAGAAACTGAAAGATATAATTCTCAATGATATTAATGTAATATGGAAACATTCTATCCTTTATTATATTTATGACTAAATACATGCTTTTTATTGAATCATTTTAAATTTATTACAAAATTATGAGATATTATAAATACATTATAATTTTGGTTTTAGGTTGCAGAATTTGTCACAAAAATAGACAATATAATTGTCATGTTTCATATACTCTGCAAATTTCTGTAGAACACTATATTATACTGATATTTTCAATTATATTTAAGTTTGATTTTTGAGCAAATTTGCCCCTTTCATTTGTAATACTAATATCCTAGAAATAAGTAGTTATTGGAAAATACTTAAAATTACATGAGGGCCTCCCTGGTCATGCAGCTGTTTAGCGCTGGGTTGCCAAGCTGCCCACAGCCCCTGCAGCGCCAGTTTGTTCCCGGAGGCCAGGCAAGGGTCCCACATGTTGAGCAGACCTCTCCTGCCTCCTGCTGCTCCTCTCAGCAGTGTACTTCGTCAATCTGCCTGTTCTGTTCTCCGCTCTGGCTCTGGTGAATTCTCTCACCCTCCCACGCTTCTGACTGTACCCAGTGATTGTATAAATAAATAAATAAATCTTTAAAAAAAAGATGAAAAAAAATTACATGAAAATTATATACATATTTTTTGTCAGTCTTCCTGATTGGCACTATTTAGATTTAAAAGTAACTGGTGTACATTAAAAACAAACAAACAAACAAAGCACAATGCAGATCTATAAAAACCTACTGTATTTTTGAACAAACCTATAAATTTTTTTAAATTAGTCTGTATTTTTGAAAGAAAATCAGCACTTCTAATTCTGGGTTCAATCCCAATGTCTTTGAAAGCAAGTAATACCAGGTAACAAGTGTTTGTGTATGTGTGCATGCATGCATGCACAAATATTTATGTTTCAGTATATATTTTATTGAACAAAAATCAATATTAATTATGTAGTCATTGGTAAACATGTATAATTTACAATTTTAATTTAACTGATTCTAATTTTGACATATAAGGAGATATTTAAGTGTGCTATTTTAGAATTAAAGTGAAATGTATACTTTGTAATCTATCCAACAACACAAGAGTGTTTATAATATGAATTACATAGACTTCACCAAACACAATTTTCCAGAGAAATGTCTCCTTATAATCTTCCAGTAATTTTCCATGCACGTGTTGTCACTCTTTTAGGTTTTCTTCTTTGATTCTTTTATTGTTTATCTTAATTCTTTTACTTATGACAAAATTGCAATTGAATTAAAATATATACAGAGTACATCACAGTTTGTAAAGGCACAATATAATGCATTTTCACACAGTGAATATACTTGGGTAACACTGCTTAGATAAAGAAACAAAATATTGCTAGCATTTAGAAGTTTGTTGCTCTAAAGCTCCGAGACCACTACTATTTGGGGAGATGTTCCATTTAACCCAAATGTGGTCATTTGATTCCCATGCACTAATAGTCAAAGAATGTAAAAGAGCAGTTTATAGCATTCCCTAGGGAGAGAGATTGTGAACATAAAAGGAAAATGAGATCAATGCTGTACAATGAGGAGAGAGAGAAAGGATGGAACTGGGGGGATCCCTTGGATATTTCCCTATATAGTCTTGTCCAGCAGAAGGTTATATTACCTTAAAGAGGCAGCACTACCAATACTTCAGTACTTTCAGGAATGTAAGTAATACTACCAGATAAATATGCAATAATACAGAGAGGAAAGAAAGCATAGGATACACTATATGGAAGTGAGGAATCATAAATACTAACAAGATTGATTGATTGATTGATGGTTGAAGTAACATTTTACATCCTTGCTAGTGTTTGGCAGTGTGGGATTTCTCCCCCCAGGTGTAGTCACTGCAGCTCTTCCATTTCGAAGCACCCCTAGGCCTCCACCATACTCCATTGTGTTTCACCCCCACCATCTCACTTTTAAAAATCGACCTAGTGTGTAAATATATCTTAGACATTACAGCAAGTTTTCCTCGGCTTTTACCAACTTTACTTAATATTTTATGCAGGATATTTGTGATACTTAATTTCCAAATTCACCATATAGGCTGTATATTGAGAGGAACTATTTAGAGAGTTAGACGATGAACAAAGAGCTAGACATCAAGTAACACTGACTGACTTAACAATAAAAGAATGATAGCATTTGCAAGTGACATTAGTTATAATTCTAAACTAGATAAATAGACAAGGGTAGGATGGAGACAAGATTCTGGTCTTGCAGTTGCTGTAACAAAGGGTGCAGAAGGGCAGAATAAGCTTGGAGGGGAGGGTTGACTTTTAGCTGTGGTACCACCCATCTGTCCTCCCCGGGGTCTGACTTCTGAGAACCTGAGTCTTCACTGTCTGTTCACAAGATCAGTACCAGTCCTATTGGGGGTGGCGTGGAGAGTGAATTACAGTTCATTGTTTGTTGTTGTTGTTGTTTAAGTTCTCTCTTTTATGCATACAAGAGTTGGGGTGTAGGCCAGAGGTGGGGGGGAGGTGAGAAGATTCACAGGAGACAGAGTGGGGAGCAGAACAGGAAGATTGAAATTCACTGCTGAGGGGAGCAGCAGGTGAGACAGGAGAGGTCTGCTGTGCCATGTGTGTAGCTCCCTGGCGGGGGTTAAACTCATGCTGCCGTGGCTGGTGATAGCTTCATAGTGCTGTATGTTCGTTTTGCTGGGAACTGGACCTGTGGGTAACAACCCAGCCCCTCCACATGTGTTTCTTTTCAGTCAAGGCTGTGTGCTTCCACTCCATTTAGCTCTCTCCTCCATAGGTTCCTGACTGAGCTGGCAGCCTCAAGCTGTGTCCCCCCACCAATCTCCCTTCACTGCCCACTTTCTTTGTCCTTTGCATTTCTCCTCATAGAGAAATTATTTTCTCTGAATTTTAATATCCTATTAGTGACTATATCTTTTTAGCACAATTTGTATTTTTCGTATTTATTTCATGTTTACATTTTCCAGTGACAGTCAGTAGACCAGTGGAGCTGATAAAAGATTTTCATAAAAGACTATATATTATATAAAACTTCTGTTAAAATTATGAGCATGATCAATTGTCAATTCTTATAAGAATTTTTGTGTCATTAAAATTGCCTTGTCCAATTTTTCAATAAGATTATAACATGAAGCTATGTAAGGTTTTTCACTTTTAGGCAAATACCAGAAAAAATAAGATTACTTGGCAAGAATTAACTTTGCTTTATTTAATCTTCCCTGTATAATATGCATGATGTTTAATCAAGACATCTTATCCTCAGCAATTTGTGAATACAGAGTTTGATATTCATTATAAATATATCTTTTGTGAGTATTTCAACACCTGGGGTGAATTATGATAATTAGTTCTATATCGTTATCTTCTTACTTTTTCTTTCCAACTCCTACTGTGAAAATTCAATTTCCAGATGCTTTTGATGTTTCCAGTTTAAGGTGTAAAAGAGATCTGACTTTTCTAAGATCTCAGGTTAGTTATATTGGAGAATCATTTTATAGCATTCTTTCATTAGTTTCTAATTTTTCTAGCCAAATTAGGACATGTGTTTTTCAGGGAAAAATAGATTCTGGATTTATGTAATAAATGAATTTTTATATTTCATGTTATTCTAATCTGTATTAATTCTAAAACGAGAAAGTAAGACATAACTAAAATAACATTCAATTTATTGTCTGAAGATAAGTATTCAAATCCCAGGTCAACTACATAATCTTGAGTCAGTTAATGATCTCCTCACATTTTCTTTACTTGAACAAATGAAGATAACCCCATTCCTGATGTGGCACATTGGAGATAATGTAATGTATCAGATTATACTATGTGGACTTAAACAAGAAATTAAGGTGTCATTGCTATTTATTGCACTGATTATGATGTTCTTTAGATTTATATCCTC